AACAATTACATCTAAAATATTAAAACCCTTAAAACTGACTTGCAAATGAACAAAACAATTTTCTCTGAAGGTCTCTAACTGCAACACAATATCTAAGTGACATCAAAGGTATATATTTATTTATTTTGTATGTCTGTGTGTGTGTATATATATATATATATATATATATATATATATGTGTGCTCTTTGAGTGTCTGATGATACATAGAAGAAGAAACACAGATAGAAATAGAGATCTTGCATGCTGAGTATGCATCTACTTCCAAAAATGTCTGTGGTTTTAGTCTTTTTCAAACTCTGTAAGATATCTTTGGCATTCTGTGGTACAATTTCTTGTAAGTTATTTGTCAGCATAGTTACCAAACATACATCAAATACTGAACATTTTTAAATCAGCTCATAAATGGACATCTCAACCCAGTCTGTCTTTCTGACAATCAGAATGGTTATGACCATGCCATGCTTATTATGGAAATATATCCCAGGAGATCATTTATTACCATAACAACTGTATTCAACAAATGACAGCATGGAAATGAGACTTACTGGAATTTGAGTGTGTTTGAGTACAGGTGAAGGGCTGCTCGGTTGCTGCAGTGGGGAGGAAAAGATTGGTTAGTCGTCTGAAAAGTTCCAAGTGAGCCAACAGTTCACAGTGTCAACAGTTAACAGTACCTTTTACGAACATGAAGCGAGACATATTTAGCATTAAAGTTTTCTATCATGGCCCGACTGGCCTGGTCCATCAGCTTCTGAGCAAGGCCAAGACGTCTGTGGGAGCGCTTCACAGCCTGCAGGACATAGAGAGGGTTTTTTTTGTTGTTGCCTTGGAGACACAAGCCAAGTATCTCAGAAATTCAAAAAGTAAGAAAACATTTAAGTGGGGTCTCTCTCTTTTTTTTTTTTTATAGACTCACCAGAGATGTGATGTGTCCATGAGGAACATCATCTGGGTACTCCTCCCTAAAAAAAAAAAAAAAAAAAAAAAAGAGTTAACAATTACCTTTAACACATTATACATCTTCTATTCACGTCAGTAACCAAACAAACAAACAAAAAAAAGTAACTCACATCTTTGCGAGTACATATCCACAATCTTTCCATTTTCGTCCTCTGCGATGTATGACAACTGAAACAATGAAAAAAATGACTAAACATTGAACCAACAAACTAGCAGGATTTAAAGGTTTAGCTGATGGGGCAGTGATAGCACCACAAAAAAAATAAATAAGGATAAAGGTGAACCAGTACTTTCAATTACCTGAGGCCAGGACAACCCGTGATAGAAATAATACTTCATCTGGTAGTTCTCTGGGAGACACAGCAGGTTACAGTGCTGCATGTTCATCAGGTCTTCCGGCTGAAGGAAAGAAAACTGAATGTCAGAAAAGTGTATTTCGTGATGCTAATGTTTTAGCCAGCGAGGTTTGGTCAGCTATCGTGCAGGAACTAGCTTAGCCACCGGTTATTAGAAGCAGCATGGCTGTCGACTTCAGCGTACTTACCCTCGCGTTTCTTATGTTCATTTTGTAAGCTGTCTGGTTATTCGGGCTATAAAGAAACAGATATCAAATATAATATAGAAATCAATCAATTCATAATAATAACTCTCTTTTTTTTTTTGGTTAGCGACTCAGTCTAGCTAGCAAGCTAAGCCGACTTGCTAAACAGGTGAGGGAGGGGAGAAAAGAGCGTGCCTCATTAGGAGGGGAAGTTCCGGTGAAAGAGGAAGTTGGATTTCAAAATAAAATAATTGTGGATGAGTCTGTGATTATATTACCGTATATTTACAGTCTGTGGTCAAAACCACGTCGAAACCATAGACTGTAAAAATAAAAACTAGTAATAATAATATTATTACTAATAATATAAACTAATATTAATAATAATAATAATAATAAACTAATATTATTAATATATTACTAGTAAAAATATTAACTAGTCGAAACTAGTTAATGACAACTTTTATTTTTGAAGAATGGATTTAAGACGTGGGGAACTTGGATGTTGTGTTGGGGATTTCATACATCTAGAATCAAGCGGCTGTTCCAGCAAGACATTGGACCTTGTTTACACGATGTATTGCATTTTGCATTAATAATGACTCCAATGAACATTTTTGTACTGATCATAGACTATATATTTTTTTCTCACTTGCCTGATGCTTATAGAAATTAGCACCAACACATAGGCCTAATTTACCTTTGAATAGACCCAATGTGACCTTATTCTCCCTCGGTGATTGGCAGCAATATAATATATAGGCTATGTACTTTTTTTGTATTATTTTTTGACCATTTTCCTTGTACCTATGTCTTTTTGTTAACTGGTATGTCTGATTGTCTGTACATTTTTTTAAAGTAAATATATAGCCTAGGCTATGTTTTCCTGGTGCTACAGCAGATGACGTCACTCAAGTGGGCGCTCCATTCATATGGCCCGGGACCAATCCCGTGCAGCCTATCTACTTTTTATTTACAGGATTTTTTTGATTCATTGAAAGATGGTTGACTTTGAGGACACTGGTTACCATTTGTTTAACTCTTAACCTGCCTGTAGTGTTCTCACAAGATTTATTTTTTCTCACAAGATTTATTTATTTTTCACTCAAACTGACACCTATTTAAAACAGAATTACATTGTAAAGCAAATTCAGGACAAGCATTATTAATGTTTAATATTGAACTTTTTTTATTGAATGCACTTAATATTCAAAATGTAGTCATCAGTGGCAGAATGAAGGCAGCATGTCATCTTCTTCCAGGAACCACAGAAAAAGGCTTTCACCTTTTTCTTTATTGTCTTCTTCTTTTTTTCCTGGACAGCACAGTCCTGTTTTTCAGATGTGTCCACCTCCTCTTGCTGCAGAACTTCCAGCTCATCAACAATGTAGACAACAACATGACTTGTTAGGTCGACCAGGGATGTTTCCATAGAAAGATCAGTTTTTTATATTAGCCATGTCTTCATCAACAGACCCAATTGGTGAAGCCTCCCTCTCCGCAGGGTTTTCCTTTTCAAACTCTTCTGTGGCAGTGACTTGTAGAGAAGCCTCCCTCTAATCCAATAGTGGATTATTCAAATACTTTGAGGTCCCTGACCCAGGGATTCATCTTTCTCATGGACAATCAAGTCCTTCTGCTGCATTTCCATAACTTTATCGTCAAAAACCATGGTCTATATGGTATCCTCAGTCACATTACAGTCTGCTTCTCTTGGTCAATATGCTGAATGGCAGAGTCCTGAACCAGGTGCTCATTTTCCTCAGAGTCCTCCTGTTTCGGCAACTCACATGATGGTGTCTGGATCGACCAGTGAGTGTCTGTGTCCCTTCTCACATCTGGCTTTGTGGTCATCTCTTCATTCAAAGAGACTTTGGAAAACCCTCCCTCCACAAGTTCCTTCTCCAGTGATATTTCCTCACTCATCCAGGATTTTCGTCTGTGTCAGCAGCCAGGTCTTCCATGTGTCTGACACTTTAACAATCAGGGACTTGATCCTGTTGTTTCACATGCATAAACTGCCTCAGCAACATTTTCTGAAACAGAGATTGAGCACAGTGTTTGAACCAGCTCACACAGACCAAATATTAAACAGTATGGCATGAATAAAAGCATTGCATCTTGATTTTTTACAGTAATTTATTTCTGCTTGGTATGTATGGGTGGGATATGTATGTATGTATGTGTTGTGTTGTGTGTGTGTTTGTATGTATGCTGGCTGCTGGAACTCCTAAATTTCCATGCTGGGATGAATAAGGTATATCTTATCTTATCTTATGTTGCTCTTCATCGGAGAAGAGGGACGGTTTAAATTATTGGTGTTGCTCAAATGTGAAGTGGGTGTCCATTTTTAAGAAACAAGTCGAGTTTAAACCAACAGGAAATACATGCAATACAAGGACAGGTTTTTGTTTTTTTTCCCTCCCGGAGATTACACAGCCTAGAATACTTTGTGGAGATAGGGGGAGCCAGACTCTTGACTGGGGTTCTGACTTCTTCAGGGTGTGCATGATGTATGTTATTATTGTGTGGTCCATGTTATTATGGTCATGGGTTGTATAAATAAATGAAATGAATGAATAACATTGAATACATTATGGGCTTAGGTATCCGATTCAAAAGCTTTAGGTTTAAAACATTGCATTTTATAACTTACAGTTCATAGCTTATGAGTTCCCCAGTTACAAGTCTTGAAGTCTAGCAGAAAGTGAACAGTCAATACTATTTAATACCCCCAGAATCAAAGCAGTCTTGAATCGAACTATAGATTGGTTAGAGTGCATGTCCATGAAAGGTCTTCCTTTCTGTCTCTTTTATTCTGAGTTTGCCTGCATGGTTAAGATTTAAATATATCCAAACTGGCCTCATCAATCATTATTCCCATGTTGTCTGCTCTGGTGGCAGCTTTTGTCTGCATGCCTGGCATCGATGTGAGCACCAATGACAGATGGGGGTGCTGGCACACTCAAGTTGCAAAAGCACAAAGAAACTACAGTAGCACTGTAGGAATGGACGTTTCTGACTGGACATTGAACAGCCCCAGTTACCTGAATAGTTCTGACTTTAAGGATCAGGTGATGAAGGAATATGTGTCTCCCAGCCTGACCTTTCACTTCCTATGTTTTCTGTTATTTCAGGAACAAATCAAAACCCTACTGAATGCCAGTGTTTACATATTTTTGGAGGGGTCAGTATCAACCAATCTAAATCAGTGTGAGTATCTTTTATTTATTTAAATAACATAAGTTGCAGGACCTACGAGTCTTACAGTTGTTTGGTAATAAACCAACTGATATAGGTATATAAATCCCAAATATTCCTGTTAATGGCACTAAATATTAAAAAAAGGGAAAAAAGGTCATAATCTGACAATGTGATGCTGCACATGTTGCGATTTTTTTAAAAGTCAGGAATAAAGTTAAGGCTCTTGTATTGATATACTAACAGGCATACATCAGATATGTATTGGTAATCTGTTTTTAGTTGTTCTCTATCGTTGTTATTGTTTAAATGTTATTATTGTTTTGTTTTTTGTAAATGACATGATCTCCTCAGGTTTCACTGAAAAAGGTAGAAATAAATGTGGGGATGAAAAGACATAATTTCTCCCAAAATAGAGGGGCAACAGACTACACGCAGCATTTGGAAAAGCTCAGAGATTCAAATTTTAACAGGGAGTGTGGATTTAAGAGGAGTAATTGTAATTAGAGTGGAATAGGGACTTAGGAGTTTAAAAAATGTAAACTGGTGCCAGTCCATGCAGTGCTTTAAAAGCAATTAAAAGAAGAATCAGGTTATTATTACTGGATTTCTGTGATTCTCGCACAGTGTTCACGAAAGTCGCGACTTTTTCATTACCACCTGATGGCTGCAAATGTTCATTCATCAGGCCGCACACCATTGGGTAGACCACTGAAAGTGAGACCGCCTCCTCCCCGCAGGTCGCTGTTGTGGCCATAGCCAGTGCTTTCAGGACAGGATCCATCTCCTCCATGAGTCTCCAGTAGTCATCTTTTAACTCGAGGTTGCGCGCACCCGCAGGTTTGGTGACAGAGCGGTCTGACAGCACAGCGCAGACAGCCCACCGTTGCTCTGTCAGCCGCTCAAACATTCCATATATTGAATTCCATCGGGTCTTGCAGCACTGTATAAGTGCATGCTCTTTGACGCACATCTGCTTTTGCTTCACAGCGAGTGCTTGCGTAGCAGTTGTGCTGTGATGAAAATGCGCAACCAGCTTGCTGCACGCTCCGATCATGCGCTCCAGGATCTGGACAGCCTTGAACCCATCATTAATAGCCAGTTGGAGCGTGTGCGCAAAAGCAACAGACCTACTCCCAATCACAGGCTTGGTTGGCCTTTACGATATTTGCCGCGTTATCACGCTCTCCCTGTCCACTGACATTCCACTCCGCCACAACCGTTTCCAACTACATCTGTAGATTTTCTGCTGTGTGCCTCTCCTGCATATTTTGTGTGGCCAATACATGGGCCTGCATTTGCCACTCCTGGTCTATGGTGGGGGATTGTATTGTTAACTGATCATTGGTGTGTTAACTCCATGCTCGGTCTGTGAAGAGGTTTGACCACATGGCACAGGGTCATTTTTCTCCCATTCTGACACATGGCCCCCTCCCTCTCTCTTCTCCTCTTGTCCTCCCCTCACACTCCTTTCTCTTTTATCTTTCAGAGAGAAGACTAGCAGGAAACAGCGGAAAAAAAAGGAAAAGGGGGGAAGGACAGGAGGGTCCAAATATAATATAATTTTAAAAAGTCTTTAGTACTCCTTTGTGCAGTCTTTTCTTGCCCCTGTTCTCTCTGTCTCTTTTTTAGAAATCATTTTTCTTCTCCTCTCATCCTATTGTATCTCTACGCCTCCCTCCAATGTTCCCCTCTCTACTTTATTCTGCTGCTAAGCTGCTCTTCTCTCTCCTTTGTTTCTCTTTTTTTCCGCTGCTACTGTCTGTAATCATTGCCTCTCTTCTTCTCCGTCTCATTTCCTCTCTCCCACTCTCAACAGGGCTACACCATATCCAGCTTAGTGAGCGGGTGGTGGTGGGAAAGGATGGCAACTTGTACTTTGCCTATTTGACAACAGAAGACAGCAGGCAGGACTACACCTGCAATGTCCAGTACCTGGCAACGCGCACCATTCTGGCAAAGGAACCCATTACTCTCACTGTCAACCCCTGTAAGTGTAGCTTAATTACTCTCCAAACTGATTTAACTGGGCCTGAAATTAATCTTTAGACTTAGCCCATCACTCTTTATTGTGCTAAAATCTCAATTAAAAGTCCTCTAGGTCAATCCCCCCCCTTTACAGCATCAGATGCAAAACAAAACAGAAGATTACAAGCTATTTAATCATTTACCGTATATATATAAACACATATCACATAATAAGTAAAGGTCAAAGAAGAGTATCCTGCTTCTATAAGACTCACTTAGATAACAAAAGATATTTTTAGTTCTATTCCTCTTCAGCATGTAGATATTTTGTGATTTTGCGATAAATGCCCATCAGATTTCTACTGCCAGTTTATCAGTGGTGCTCAGGGCACTGATAAAATAGACTTACTGTTTCAAGCACATTTATTTCTTCATAGAAACACTTGACAGAAGTCGCATAGAACATTTTCAAGGCACAATTTCCTGGTTTGAAATAGTTTGAATTAACAATTGAAGGGTATGTAGCTACAATGACACAACAAGTTTAGCATATCAACACATTCAAAATGACAACCACTTTGGAATCTGTCGTACTTACTTTATGAGTAAAATACAGCATAGTTTTGATGAAATTAGCACACAGAAAATGATAAGTCACCTCCCCTTCATGTGGTGGCATGTTGCTGACCAAAGCAGTGATGTGTCCAGTAGATAGTCCCACAGGCGGCAGGAGGTCCATCACCTCCTCAGCCCAGCAGTAATGAGATGCAGCTCACACTGAGATGTGGCTGCCAGCATCTGTGGCCCAACTAGAGGTCAGAGAGATGAGCACATGTTAACATGGGACCTCTGTGTGTGTGTAGGAAATCTGTAAGTCGATGTGTTGTTAGAAAGGTGAAATCATCTCCACACGAATCCACACCCTGCATCTGCATGTGTGTGTGTGTGTGTGTGTGTGTGTGTGTGTGTGTGTGTGTGTGTGTGTGTGTGTGTGTGTGTATGTGTGTGTGTCTCTCTAAAGTGGCTGCTGTGTCAGCAGCACATTACCAATGCATATGTATGAATCTTTCTTTTTACTCTTTATGTTTCCGCCTCTTCCTCCAGCCAACTCTGTGCTGCGGAACAGGAGGCCGCACATGATGAGACCTACTGGAAGTCAAAGCGTTTACCATGCTCTCAGGGGCCAGACAGTGGAGCTTGAGTGCATCGTCCAAGGCCTGTGAGTGTGTGTCTGTGTGTGTTTTGGTGTTTTTCTGCCCCAATCAATCACTATGATCGAGCAACTCCTTCTAATCAATCTTACCTGCCTCCTATCCATCACTCTTTCCTCTTCCTACCTCCTTACTCTCTGTTCTTTCCATCATATATCTTTATTTCCCCTTCTCCAAACGCTGCTTTCTTAATTTCATTTATTTGTTCTCTTTTCACCCTTAATGTTTTTTCCTTTCTTGGCTTCTTAATTTTGCATTAAAACAACATTCCCCATTTATTTTTCTCCTCTCTCTTATCCATTCATCCCTACCACTGTTGCATCCCTTTATCCTCATCCTACTATCCCTCCTCCTCTTCAGACCAACTCCAAAAGTGTCATGGCTGAGGAAGGACGGCGAGCTATCTGAATCCCGCACCGTAAAAGACATGCACGATCGCCGCCTTCGCTTCAGTAACATCTCTGAGAGTGATGGGGGCGAGTACCAGTGCATAGCTGAGAACTCCCAAGGGAAAGTCACACACACTTACATTGTGACTGTGGAAGGTACATCACACACACTGATGCATTGATAGATTTCAGATTTATGCAAGCATTTTACATGTAGGGTGTGACCTACCAATCTCAACCATTAAGTCTCAATTAGTCTTGTGCAAAGGTTGGAATTTGTGTCCCTTTAAAATGTGATGCTCCCCTTCCAATGATCGTAATAAATATATTATGTCCCTTGTAGCGGCTCCCTACTGGACTAAGGAGCCTGTCAGTCAGCTGTATGCCCCAGGTGAGACTGTCAGATTAGACTGCCAGGCAGATGGCATCCCCTCTCCTACCATCAGGTGGACCAACAATGGGAACCCTCTCTTGGGTCAGTGTGTAGAACCCCGCCCCAGATCCTAACTGAGGATGGGAATGCATACACATTTACAGAAGGCCAGAAGGCTTTACTGGAGTGTGACACCTTTGGCTCTCCTAAACCTAAAGTCATTTGGTAAGGCACGAAAACACCTCGCTCT